CCCCGTTGCCTGGCATGGGGGGTGTCCCCCCGCCCCCTCCACCATTGCCCGGCATGGCAGATCATGTGGAAGCCGTGGTGGCCCCCCAGTTCAGTTGCCCTCTCGGCCTGGCACGGCCTCCCCACAAGACGGTGAAGACGCCGACGCTGAGGATGAAGAAGCTGAACTGGCAGAAGCTGCCCTCCAATGTGGTGAGAGGTGGGTGCTGCTGGCGCGGGCACGGCTGACGTGGGGGGAGCAGGACAGAACCCTGCGCTACACAAAAACCCTGGGTTTGTCAACGTGGGTGACTCTGCTTGGGTACAGAACATCCCTGATTCCCATTACCTCGGACCTGCAGGGCTTAAACAGACAACAGTAGCGTGAAACCACTGATAGGATGTGATGTGATGAGATGAGATGAACTGAGATATGATATATGAGATATGATATGATATGAGATATGATATGAGATATGATATATGATATATGAGATATGATGAATAGAAATAGAAATAGAGTCCATTCCAGCTCAATCAGCAGTTTGAAATAGCTTTTTTAATAGCTAAAATCCTTTGGCATTAAAAGAAGGGGAAGGGATGGGCATGCTCCCTAACCCACCATGGCATGCCTTAGGCCTGGGTCCTCAGCAGGCTCTGAGCGGGGCTCCCCAAACTTTGTTCCCACTTCACCCAAAGTCGTGAGTCAGGGCCATGTCCCAGGCCAGGACATTGAAAGCACTGGAGAGCCGTCAGAATCGCTGACTTCTCTTGAGTTTTGGGTCACATTTCCCTCTCCTAAGGGATCCAGAGAGCAGCAGGAAATGTGAGAGGAGCCCGGACAGGCACTGTCAGCTTTGTCCTGGACAAGAAAGGCATCCGCTGCAGGGACGTTGGCATAGGTGCAGTCTAAGGCGTGTTTTCAGTCACAGGAGCAGTTAATTATTGGGATTGTTTCGGTAGAGACTCCTGCAGGAACATTTGGGTGATGGGGTATTTTTTAAATAAGGTGTTTAAGCGAGTGCAGTGGGAATTAACTCAAGCAGTGCTGTAGCCAGCATTGTACAAGGAGGCTCGACTATAAACTGACAAATGAAGGCCACAGTCAGGAGATGTTCAGATGGTGGCCAATTCCCCTGACAGGCAAGGGAGCAAAATGACATCAGCCATGGGGCTGGGATAGAAACGGCCAAGGTCCTCGCGCTGATGCTGTTTGCCCACCATGGGGAATGTGCATCCCCTCACCAACACTGCGTTTAATTACCCCTCAGAAGAGGGTTTAAGTACCCCTCAGATGCTCTGGATCCTGCCTGGGGGACTTGTTCCTCCTAAATAATCAGCATTTCTCCAGCACTAACATGTCTTTTACTCCATTCACCATCTGAGAGTTGTCCCTGCCAGCCCCTCGCTTGCCCCGGCACGGTCGGCTGCGCTGGTATCCATTCCGATCCCCCGTCTCGTTGCAGAAAGCCACTCGATGTGGGCCTCGGTGAGCAGCAGCAGCGAGGAAGCCATCGAGCCCAACTACAGCAGCATTGAGCAGCTCTTCTGCTTCCCGCAGCCCGCGCCCAAGGAGAGAGCGGCCGCCCCGGCCAGGGCCGAGCCCAAGGAGGTGAGGAGATCCCCTGGTTCCTGCGCACCGAGATCGCTGCCGACAGCGCGTCTAACAGCAGATATCTTCTTTTTCTTTGGCGAAGATCACATTTTTGGACTCCAAGAAAAGTCTCAATTTGAACATATTTTTGAAGCAGTTTAAATGGTAAGATATGGCCAGTTTTTGTGACGGTTGACAAAGCTTTGAGCAGCTTTTGCACAGTGTCTGGAGCCAGTTTAGCCAATCTGCTGTGCTATTCCTGAAACATCTGAACACATCCCAGTTTGTCCTATACTGTCTTTAAAACACGGGGTTTAGGGGTTTAATTTGCCTACAACATCGCTGTAAGCTGGAAGAGAAATCTCAGTGTTACAGATGAGGTTGTGGCACAGGCTCCTAGGGGGCTTGGGTTGTGAGACACCGCTGGGGGTTGAACTCCGGAGCCCAGTGGAGAAGTTAATTTAGTATTTTTTAAGGCAATCCGATGCTCAGAGGCAGTCGTCTGAGCTGCGGATGGCTCTGGCCTTGAGTTGTCTGACCAGGGCCAGAAACAAAACCTGGGGCATCGCAGGGGTGCAGGTCCCAGCCCCGAGTTATCCATGGGGTCATACCTTTCCTTTTGGGTTGTGGTGGTTCTCATAAGGGGCAGCACAGCGCGGCCACACGGATGCGCGTTTTGGCAGGGTTCTTGCGTGGCGCTGACTCTGCTCCTCCTCCCGCAGCCCCAACGAGGAGGTGGCCGCCATGGTCCAGCACGGCGACCGCACCAAGTTCGACGTGGAGATCCTGAAGCAGCTGCTGAAGCTGCTGCCCGAAAAGCACGAGGTCAGGAGGAGGAGCAGTACCCTTAGTTCACTGAGCTGGACCCACAGTGCAGTCCTCAGCCTCGATTCTTTGTTTCTCATCAGATAGAAAACCTGAAGGCCTTCAAAGAAGAGAAATCAAAGCTGGCGAATGCCGATCAGTTTTACCTTCTCCTCCTTCAGATCCCCAGGTAAGGGTGTTGGCCTTCCAGGAGCCCTTCAGACAGACACTGATGGGTATAGCCCACAGACCCCCTTCCACCTCAAAGCCATCCCTCAGTGAGGGGCTTCATCCCTTTCCCTGTTCCCTCAGTGAGGGGCTTCATCCCTTTCCCTGTTACCCTTAGTGAGGGGCTGGTGCTGCTCCAGCACCTCCTCTCCTCCAAAGCAGCTCAGGGTGGCCCATACCCCAGGTCAGAGCTGTCCAAGGAAGCCCCATAACCTCCTAAAGGGCAGTGCCAAGTGCAGTGCCAAGGAGGGGGCACCCCCACCTCTTACAATGGTCACTTCACTGCTGGTCACCGTGCATCAGCAGAAACTCCATCCCTGCAGATCCCCAAGGCAGCCCCTTCCCTGCCCCATGAGCACAGACACTGCTTTGATGGGGACGTGGTTGTCAGCCCTGCCGTGGCGGTGCCAGTCGTGCCACGGTGTTGGTGTTGCTGGTCGTGCCATGGTGTTTTCAGCTGTGCCATGGCACTGCCGGGCTTCCCGGTGATGCCGGCCGTGATCACGGTGCCTCTGAGCCTTGCCCCATCTCTGCCGTAGCTACCAGCTGCGCATCGAGTGCATGCTGCTGTGCGAGGAGACCGCCGTGGTGCTGGACATGATTCAGCCAAAAGCCGCAGCCATCCGCAGAGCCTGCGAAGGTAAACGACCTGGTCTGATTGCTGGATCTTATTTAGGGAGCTGTAAACCCCAACATCTGCCCTGGAGCTCTGCAGTGAGTGTACCCAGCACCCCCCTGCAGACCCCGGGGTGCAGCTCTGGGTATCTCCAAAGAGATGACCATCCTATATGATGGTGAAAGCCCTTGACAGGACCGCAGATCACTTTCCCTCGCCTCAGGCCCCTTTTCCTCTGTTTCCACCTCTCCCAATGGTGAGACCCTGGCCACTCATCAGCCCTTTCAGAGGAGCTGCATTTAGACAGCGCAGCCGGCCCCATTACCGCTCATTCACACAGCGTTATGGCTGCATTAAGACCTTCTCACTGCAATTTTCCCTGCTGCCAGAAAAGCACATCCCAAACTTCACCCAGAAAGTGGAGATGCTTTAGTTTTTCCCTGCCTACAAATGGAACCAGAAGATAAAGCTTCTTATCTGGGGCTATCAATTGCTGATGCTCCAATTTTGTGGGCCCATGGAGAGATTTCAGCTTCCTGAGGCAGAAACTGAGTCTCACTGCTGAGAGCAGCACGCTCTGCTTGGCTCTGTCCTAAATAACCGCTTCCCCCAACCCCTTCTGGGGTCTCTCCAGCTGGAATCACAGTTGCCTGCTGGGATCCACTGAAGCTCCCCCAAAAAGTGCCTCCCCAGCAGCCCCCTCATCCTTTTGGAGCTGTTCGTGCCCTGAATTGCTCCAGAACGCAGAGCAGAGCCCCCGCAGTGAGGGCAGGGATGGGCACTGAGCCCCCGTGCCCTGCGCTGTGCGGGACCGAGGACGGGGAGAGAACCATGGGGAACCCGGGGCAGCGCGGCCTCCGCACCGCGCAGGATTGGAGCCACGGCCCCGTTCTCCTGCCCACAGTGGGTGCACACAGGTCCTGCTTGGGGCACCGCCTGGGTGTCCAGCTCCAGGGGGTTTTCCATTGGTAATGAGAGACCAGATGTGAAGAAAGAGAGAAACACAAGTCAGCAGAAACTTCTACACCTCCTGGAATTGAATCAGTACAGAGTCAGGTTGGGTCATTGGGCTGCAAACCTGAAAAACCAGATTTGGTTTGGGGGAATTCAGAGTCCCAGCTTCAGTGCAGCTTAGGGATGCTCTGTGTAACAGAGCAGTGTAAACGTCTGTTTTAAAGTGCTTTCTGTGTCCCAGATCTCCTGAGCAGCCACCGCCTGCCACTGTTCTGCCAGCTGATCCTCAAAGTCGGGAACTTTCTGAACTACGTAAGGACCCTTTCTGCCCCATCCTCCTCCATTGCAGTGTGCACGACCTCCTGTAGGACTGGTTTTATGTGGGCACAGGGGTTACCTCTGCTTTCGTCCTGCAGGGCAGCCACACAGGGGACGCTGACGGGTTCAAGATCAGCACTTTACTGAAGCTAACGGAAACCAAAGCAAACCAGACCCGCATTACGCTGCTGCACCACATTCTGGAGGTACCGCTGCCAGTCCTGGGCAACAGGGAGGGGATTTTGTCACGGCTGAGCCATTTCTCCTGCTCTGCCTTCAGTCGGTCCCACACGAGCGCTCATGTCCTCCCGGGCAGCCGCAGCGTCAAATTTGGGAGCATTGAGTCACTTGGGCTGCGGGGGCTGCTCAGGTGCTCCTCATTTGCAGCCCTGTTCTGCTTTCCCCCAGCTTCTTCCCCACCATGGCTGGAGCTTCCTTCATCTTTGTGCAGCCTGCACCTCACGCGCTGCGAACCACAGCGCACGCAGCCGCCAAACCTCTGCCTTCCTTGGCCTCCCCCTTTTCCACCAGACCTGCTCAAGCTTCTCCTGCTCCCTCCCCAGGGCTTATTCCCTGTGATGCTGCTTTTTCCTTTTCCTCCGTGCTCTGCTCTGCCACCTTCACTCATTGCAGTCCCTCTGTTCCAGCTGTGCACGTCCAACCCCAGCTCTGCATCCCTCTGCTCCAGCTGTGCGTCCCTCTGCTCCAGCTGTGCATCCCTCCATTCCAGCTGTGCATCCCTCCATTCCAGCTGTGCGTCCCTCTGCTCCAGCTGTGCATCCCTCTGCTCCAGCTGTGCATCCCTCCATTCCAGCTGTGCGTCCCTCCATTCCAGCTGTGCACATCCATCCCCACATCACCTGGCAGCAGCTCAGCAGGCAGAGCCGTGGAGGTGAATTCAGGCCCGTGTGGTGCCCTCCTGGCACTGCAGGAGGTGTTGGACTGCTCCAAACCACAGCCCTGTCACCAGTGGAAGAGCTGAGAGTTGCTCAGGAGCGGCTCAGCTCCGCTTTGCGCTGTCAGTGTTTCTCAGCATCCATCTCCCCTGTGTTTTATAGCCTGGGAGCAATGCCCTCCCTTCCCAAATGTGCCATCCCCCTTTGCATGCAGCTGGACTGTGGGGGGCAAAGCAAACGGAGGGGGCAGCGGCAGGACCTCCCCAGGACCCCTGCCCGTCCCCCCAGCCCCTGCTTAGTACAAATAACGCTTCTCCCGCTGCAGGAGGTGGAGAGCAGCCACACAGACCTGCTGGAGCTGCCAAGGGACCTGGAACACGTCTCCAAAGCTGCGGGGTAAGTTGTGTGTCACTTCCTTCCTATTAGGAGCAAAAATAACTTCCATGCACATCAACAATGCACCAGAAATTAGGACAGGCGCAGCTGGCGCAGCACATGAACAAGGCGGCATCTTGTTTAGATTTAACTGAAGGATTTGGCTGATGAATGTTGAAACCCCTTTAATGCAAAATAGCTCTGCTACAGCTGGCAATTTGCAGAGCGTTCTGTTACTGACGCCTCCCAGGCCCTTCCAAAATCTGCACTGCCCTTGTGGTAGTGTTTCTGAAGCCCCCTCAGCCAGGGGAAGGGGAACGATGCTGAGCGCTGAGGGTGCAGAGCTTGTTTTGGGGCGTTCATCCACTCAGCGCACGCAGCTGTAGCAGACCTGGCCACTTTTTTGGGCGTGCTGAGGACGAAGGATGATTCTCATGCACTTGGGCTGCATGGAGAGGTCAGGGCTGAGGTCTCAGGGATGCGTGGGACAGCAATGCCACCGGCCCGGGCTGTCCTCGGTCAGCGCAGGACGCTGCAGCATCGGCTGACAGGCTCTGCATGGTTCCAGCATTAACCTCGACATCGTCCGTGCCGAGTCCAGCGCCAACTTGAAGAAGCTGCTGGAGCTTCAGCGAAAAGTCCTCTCATCGAACGAGGACGTGAAGCAGCAGTACGAGAAACCCATCCAGGTCAGTGACGGAGCTGCCCCGTCTCCCCAGCGCACATAGGCGGTGCACGGGCAGCTGAGGATGCTCATGGGGGTTGTAAATATTTCCACAAGAGGTGCTCCCTGGTTCGGGAACAGGCAGTGATGCCACTCAACCCATCCGTGTTTGTTCACCACCTCCACCCCGGATCTCGGTGCCTTTGGTGATGCCGTTTCTTAAGGTCCTGCTCTCTGCACTCCTGTGTGACTCCACTTTGGTGTTCACCCTCTGTGCATCACCAGAGTAAAGTGCTGTTCGTGGCATTAAGCTTTGCACTGAGCTGCCCATGCCTTGCCCAAGCCACCCCCATAAACATCTGCAAATCTTAATTTCTTCCCACTTTACAAGCCCTGCTGCAGCCAAAAGCCAGGGCCCAGAGCCCTGCTCCAAGCTCATCCTTTTCCCTTTGTGCACTTCACCCATTGCCCTCCAAATGCAGTTTCACGGTGTGTATCCATGATTTCAGGACAGCATTGATGCCTCCAGAAAGCTGGAGGAGGAGTTTGAGACCATCGAGAGGAAGAGAGAAGAACTTGCGAATTATCTCTGCGAGGACCCAAGCAAGCTGTCCTTGGAGGACGTATTCAGCACCATGAAGACCTTCAGAGACCTCTTCATCCGGGCCCTAAAGGTTGGTGTCTGCGCAGATGGTGCTGAGCATCCCCAGTGCTGGTGCATGGCTCCGCTCCAGTGGATCTGGGATGAGCACAGGGGTCCAGCCCGGGGTTGGTGCTGGTTTCCTCCTCCTGTCCCATATCCAAGGCAGGGTTGGTACTGATTTCCTCCTGTCCTGGATCAGCCCAGGTTTGGTGCTGGTTCCCTGCTCCTGTCCCATATCCAACCCAGGTTTGGTGCTGGTTCCCTGCTCCTGTCCCATATCCAGCCTGGGTTTGGTGCTGGTTTCCTCCTGTCAGCACTGTCACGATTCCACCCAGAGATGGGGTCTGGTCCCTGCTCCCCTGCATCCTCTGCAGCACCGGTGCTCCTGGCCTGGCCCAGACCCCGGTGATTTGGGGTTTCGGTGCAGCTTCAGCTGCAGATTCAGAGATGCTTTGGCATCAGGTGTGCAAGTTTTGGAGGAAGGGGCTCATAAAACTTAGCCCTTTGCTCCATCTTGAGCAAACGGGCCCAGGAGGGAGATGTAAAGTAGAAAACCCACCAGCTGGGGGGAAATTCAACCTCCCGTGCCTTCCACTTCTGCCCCAGCGAGGGTCAGGCTGCACCCTGCAGGTGGCTGTGGGGGCAGATCACCGGGACGTGGCAGGGCCCTGGCCCAGGGTGCATCCATCGCCCTCTGGGCTTGGCAGCCCCTGCTCCCCAGCCCTGTTTGATGTCCTCACCCCCTGCAGTCCCTCCTCACTGCTCCCACAGACACCTCCAGCCCCTCACACCCCGTTGCTCCCCACAGGAGAACAAGGACAGGAAGGAGCAGGCTGCCAAGGCGGAGAAGAGGAAGAAGCAGTTGGAGGAGGAGGAGGGCAAGAGGCAGAAGGGGGAAAATGGGAAAGTCAGTGAGTATCCAAAATGGCTTCGGAAAGGAGGGACGGGCTTGTGATCCCAAACTGGCCAGAGAGCTGACGGGATCCCTCGGCAATGGGGATTTGTTCTGTGGGTCTCCAGGCTGGCTGAAGGCATTTTGGTGTCTGACAGCCATAGCTGGGGATTGGCTTTTCCCAGTTGCAGCTGGGCAGAAAAGTTAATTTTAGGTTTGCTGACTGAATGGCAGAGAAGGAGAAAAGCAAATTGAAACATTTCTGTTCACTTTTCCAGTTTCTAAATACAACTTTTGAATCCCAAATATAAGAAACATTTTACTTCTCCCCCACTGAAATCCCCATGTACTCTTGAATAGATTCTCTCTTTACCAGAGGCACCCCAAAAATCTTGCAGGTATCCTAAATCTGCCTTCCTCTGGGTGAAAGCAAAAGACACAGGAGGTGTCTCAAGGCCTGGGTACCACTGGGGTCAGCCACTGGTGCCCCCCATAGCCCCCAGGCTCTCGCTGGCCCCTTTGGCCACAGCCAGGAGCTGCTGTGGGGCTGTGGGCTGCCCCCAGCGCCCGCCCCATGGCCAGGTCTAACGCCCGTTCTCTCCGTCCCAGTCAAGAAGGGGGTGGTGAAGCAGGAGGAAGTGTGCGTCATCGACGCGCTGCTGGCCGACATCAGGAAAGGGTTCGTGCTGAGGAAGACCAAGAACAGGCACGAGGCGGACGCGCTGCCCAAAACGCGGCCTGCGGAGAGCCCGGAGGAGAGCCAGCCCGGTAAGGACACGGACCCGGCCCCCGGCTGCTCCGGGTGCATCTCTGTGGCTGATTGCCTGTTTTCTGTTAAAGGAAAGAGCATTACAGATGCACAGGCAGCAGGAGAGCAGGTTGATGGGCAGACCAAGCCAAACCACGGTGGGCATCCCTCAGAAAGCACCTCCCACTCAGCCGCTGCCCCGATGGAGATGGGTGGAGATGGTACGGATGCCTCAGCCCCACACCAGGCGTTGTCTACGAACAACACCGGGGGAAAGCTGCCACCGGCACCGCAGCCAGAGACCCCCTCAGGGGCAGCTGACGGGGCCGGGCCAGCCGTGCCGAGGGCCGGG